ATTTGATATATTATATATGTAAAATCGATAAGAAATACAAAAGTTATCAACTTTTAAAATACATTTATAATTCAATAGCTAATTGAAGGAAACAAATCAAAAGTCATGGATATATTAGTCCAAATTACAAAGAATTTAAAGGGTTATATTAATACAAGTGATATTAAAATAACTAAGTTAGCAAAATAATATTTATGGAATGTCCGAACCTAGATTATTAATTATATTAATATTATTTGTCCAAATCTAATTACGAAGCATGATTCTTCGCCAAGTAGGATTCTGAAACACCAAGAGCAGCCACGTAGGCTCAGCGCATTCTGAAATTATATATAAGAGGGATAGCTCACATCATCATGCAAACCCTAATTTTTTCCATTCTGATTACAAGTTTTCTTCTCATTGTTTTCTGTGCAATCTTTCTCTCTCTATGCTCAATCTCGCCTCTATCACCTATTGCCCCAATTCTCTAATCTTACATGTTATATTGAGATAGCGTTTAAAAATGGTTATTGATATTTTCATTTAAACTAATTTTATCAAATTCGATCAATACCTTTCAATATTAATTAGATTGCATACATTTGCTTAATTAGACATTTTTAGTAATGGTTGAAAAATCGATCAATTGATTTTAATAACCAGACTGCAAACATTTAAAAATGTGTATATAATTCGAGGGTTAAAAATGAAAACGGTCAAATTGTGTTGTCCATCTGCTTATATTTTGTGCACACGTGGAAAAGACATTGTTAGGTAAAATAGGTTAGGGCATAATTATTGTTTAATGCAGATTGTGTACCTAAGTAATTTTTGATAGATTATAGTATTTAAGTGGGTTTTACTTTTTACATGAAAAATTTCCGCAAACGACACTGTGTCGGCATTTGCTACAAGAATGGGTTGGTAGATGTCGACGTTTTTCATTTACTATCTACCTACTACCCATGCCCACTAGTCTTTTTATTATTATAATTATAATTATTACTATTTAGTTTCGGCCATCACTCGGTGTTGATGATGATGCCAACTAATTAAACCCAATACCGGCCCACACCGTTCATGTTTATCTCATCGTTAGTGTTGTTAAATTAAATGAGCTTGGCTCGGCTCGGTTCGAGCTCGGCTCGTTAAGGCTCGATTCGACTCGAGTTCGAAGCCTTAACGAGCCGAATTCGAGCTCATTTAAAGCTCGTTTGATTAACGAGCTGAGCTCGGCTCAGCTCGATAAGGCTCGTTAAGACTCGAAAAGTGAAATTTATGTAATTTTTTATAGTTCGGCTCGTTGAAGCTCGTTTACAGCCCTACTCATCGTTCAGATTCTGAATGTTAAGTACCAAGGTCTAAGTCCAAGGTCCGTACTCGAGCCAAGCCGAGCGGGCATGCACGACGTTGTTGAAGCAACACCTACACATAGTTGTTACCGTGAACTCTTTCAACTCTTTTTATATTATAATAACGGATTCGTATCGATTTAAAAGTTCAATGTGGAAATATCTCTTTGACTTTTTAAATTATACAACCAACATTTAATTCACCTTAAAAATTACTAACTTTAATAATTTATTTGTGGCTCATTGAAAGTTAGTTTGCAGAAAATAAATATATCACAAATATTTGTCGTTGTGTTAAATTATTATGTGAAATTTAATTCAACTTGAGTTAATTTTATAGATATAGAAAATCAGTCAAAATTGGGTCAGACCCATTGCTTTAATATAGATTTCTAACTGCAACTATAGATCAATGAACTTAAATGCTTGTCGAATTACGTACACGAACGTGTGGTACAAAAGTTATTGAGGCTAACCTCTAGGATTGTATTTATGTTTTAAATTGCTCGTTTATGTTATGTCCCATGGAAGATATTGAGAGCGTACTACTATACATGTAGACGAGATTCCAGTCTCTAGATCAAATGTTTACACATTTGACGTAGATTTATATGCTAGCTGAGATTATTGCTAATGCTCTAAACATTCTTCGCTTCTTCCTTTATATTAAATAATTAAATTGTATTTTTACTCATTGTAATTTTTACACATTTCCACTTCTGACACTCATATTTTTAATGTTTAGATCTATATTTTCTTTTCGTGTGTAATCAATAATGACTCTAACTTCGAACAACCTGCCTTGAGAGATCACCCTGAGATCTAGATTCCTTCTATACTCGGTGACTCTGTTCTAAAAATTGGCCTACGCGGCCGCCTAGGCTATTTGACTCTTACTTTTTTATTTATTTATTTATTTACTAGTGTATAGTTTCAATCGACTATGGTATACTATTTTCAAAAATTTTATGTTCTTCAAAGATGATTTCCCCATCAGATTTGTATTTGATTGTACTCCCCATCAGTTTGACAATTTCGCCTAAATAAAACTAGTCGCGCATGAGTTCGACAAGATGCGAGTTCATTTAAAGCATGTTAAGTTAAGTAGCCGAGCTGAATTCAACTCGTTAATCTTGAGTTTCAACTCATTAATATCGATAGAAAGCTGAGATCAAACTTGTTTATCGACTAATTTAGTTACTGGTCGAAGCTTGGCTCATTTCAACTCATTAATATTGAATTATTATTAACGAGTTGATATCAAACTTGTTTAGTTACTGACCGAAGCTCGGTTCGGCTCGTTTAGAGCTTTAATTTTCGCACAAACTTCTTAATCCATTATTATCAACATTTTCTCATCATTATATTCATTGGGCCATATGACCTCTAAGTTGTAAGCCCGATTGTTTGTGACCTCACAATCCGTACTACGTTTAGCCCAACACCTAATAATACATTGCCCCGTACACAAATTTCTGATAAAAGGGAATCAAACTCGGGTTTCATATTCAATGCACCAGATGCCATGAACCTTTGGCGACAATAAAATCTCATGTCGGAATTGAGTGGCTGGACTCGGGACACCCTCAATGCTGCATAAATCGTTCCCATGGCCATGGCGGTCCTTCATCGTCTCCCCACTTTCCACTCTGTTTCATCGAATAAAATTCCGTTCTCTTCTCATTTCCCTTCACCGGGTTCCATCGTTATTCATCTGCAAAAGTGCCGTTGCTCTTCGATTGTTGCTTGTTCAATCAAGAGACCCACCAAGTTGGTTTTATTTTTATCTTTTTTTTTTTCTGGTTTTCTTTCAACTTTTATGGTGTAATATGGTGTATTCGCGCTAAAGTTTGGATCTTTATTAGTTTATCTGTGGATATTCCGTTGAAATGTTTTACGGGATGGTGTTTGTATTTGAGCTGGCTATTGAACTTGACAAAGATTCCATTTTTTTGTTCCTTTTCGTTTGTTATTGGATTGAAGGTTTATGGGTTTTGTGTTGGGTTTATTTGTTTGCAGAGGTAGTAGGAAGGTAAGGGGTGATGTGGATCTTTGCAAGGATATTAGGGAGTTCTTGTCCAGTGCTGGACTTCCGGAAAATCACGTGCCTACCACGAAGGAGCTTTTGGGCCATGGAAGGTTTGAGCTTTATGTCATTTATGATCCGATTCGATTCCATTTCATGTATACTAGATTCTTGTATTTGTAGAAATAGCCTGTTACAGGGTTCTAATATGCTGATCACTTCCTATTCACGATGCTTGTGTCGAATAGTAATGACCGGGCGTTCTTAATATCCTGCTGGTGCTGATGAAAGTATTATGTTGATTGGTTTTTCTTTCCTATGTTCTGCCTATTTATGTGGTCATTTTTATGTGCATCGAATGAAAAGCATTTAAGCTTATTTGTGATATTGATGAACAACTGCTATAATAGGTTGAATTAGTGGGAATTATAGTTTCTCCCTGTAGTTTCTGAACGATGGTCGTGAAATTTGAAACCGTTGCTTTGTGCCGAAACATGACGTTTCTTGCTACTGATATAACTGAACTTGATGAAATTTGAATTGGGCAATTTTTCAGGTCACTAGGAGGATATTAGAAAAAATCAAAGTAATAAACCATGCCTATGTAACTCAAGAATGCGTTTTGTTTTACTTATATGTTGTATACCGATGATTCAAAGTTCTGGGAAACTCTTATGTGTTTCAAATGAATCCCTTACCTTACTTTTCTATTAAAATTTTGAAACTATTTGCTTTCAAGTGAGCTTCTAAACGGCACCATATGTAAAAGCTTCTAGTTAGATTCAAATATGTGAATTATTATTGAATAATATGGTAGAACTAGCTTATTGCTTGTTAAGGGACACAAATTATACAATTTAAGTTTCTGTAGTATCTTTAATTTTCTACAAATTTGTAGGCAAGACCTTGCAAATGTAGTCAGGCGCAGAGGGTACAAGTTCATTAGAAATCTCCTTTCAACCTCAGCAACAGAAAAAGTCGTTGAATCCAACATAGACACAGGTCATATCAGATTATCCTGGGTAGAAATTATGTACTTTTTACACATGTAAAGACATTGCATTTTCTTTATCTTTCTTGATTGTCTCGTGTTGTCTGAAAAGGTCAGAATGAGAAGCAGGAAGTTTTCATTGATTTATCGTCAAACGGGAGCATCCAAGTGGAAGGCTTGCATAGTTGCATAGAAACAAAGGAAGAGCTCAAGTCAGAGTCAAATGCTCTGTCTTTGCAGGAAAAGGTGGCTAAGTTCATTCAGCATGGGGAACTGGATGCAATTGAAGGCAAGTCCCGATCAACTTCTACTTCTTTTTTACCTTTCCATTTTGATTCTTCGAGTAGCAACTTTTATTTCCAATTGTTGGTATTTTATTTTTTTTTTACCATTTCATAATGCCAGCTGTTTTCTTTTTTCCAATTATGCATTTGGTTCATGATATCTGAGATTGGCTAATTTCTTTCTCAGGTGATGGATTGGATATTATAAATGAAGTAGAAAATGGGGAGAATATTAAATCAAAAGATTCTCGAGTGCTGGAATTTGCATTCAGTCAAATGCCAAATGGAAGTGTCTCTTCATCATCAGTCCAGCATATTGAAAATCCAGGTTTGGAGATTGATAACTTCAGGTCAGTTTCTTTCTTTTTTCTTTCCTTTTTTTTGTCCTTCCTATTTTTCTTGAACCTTTGGTTCTCGTGCCGCTTGTCATATCTTCTTTTGCTGCTGTACCTTTTTCATATGGCTCTCCTGCTCGGGCTTTCTAAACTTACGACCATTGTACTGTAAATTTCGGAAGTTGCTCCGTTTCTATTTTGTCACAACTTTATTTCTCACATTCGCATTAATGTATTTGGGTCATTTTGCAGGATAAGCAACATGTCTAGTGAAGAACAAACAAGTGTTGATGGTGATAAGAATTTAAACGATGAGGTCAGTTTATCATGAAGTGCTCTCTCTCTCTCTCTCTCTCTCTCTCTCTCTCTCTCTCTCTCTCTCTCTCTCTCTCTCTCTTTCTCTGTGTGTGTGTGTGTGTATAGAGATATTACATAAATTTGTACCGAGTTTCTTATGGTTGATTCTGGTTTCTGTTCCATTGCAGAAAGTGGAGAATCGGGATGAAATTAGACATCTCAAATTCTTGCTGGTAATACTATTATAGTTACGAGGCTTTGCTATCTGATGCCTTTCGACTTGCTTCTTCATCTTTTTTCTTTTTCTTTTAAAATAACTAATAGATTTGTATTTTGTTTTTGTGCGTAGCATCAGAAGGAAATGGAACTAACCCAGTTGAAAGAGCAGATTGAGAAGGAAAAGGTAACTTTGAATAAATATCACAACACGGAAAGTACTTTTTCCTTTTTCTAGTGAATTCTTTGATTTCATTTCAATTTTCAACCTTTCAGCTGTCTTTATCTCTCTTGCAATCTAAAGCCGAAACAGAGATAAGCAAAGCACAAGAACTTATTTCTCAAAAAGAGACCGAATTACATGCTGCGGAGGAAACCTTATCTGGACTAAAGGAGGTTCAGATATTCTCTTTTTCCCGTTTCTCATCTACGCAAAGACTAACAATCATGAAATTGCATAATAGTTTATCGACTCGTGTTTTTGTATTTCCTTTGTTAGGTGGAGATTGATTACTCGGGTGAAGGGGAGACTGTGGAGCTAGCTGGTAGCTTCAATGGCTGGGATCATACGATAGAAATGGATTTACAGCCATCATCAAGTGTCACCCACTCGACTGGATCCAGGTTTTTAATCACTCATCTATTACTCTTAAGATTTTTTTTTTCTTGTTTTTATCTTTTTTTTTTTTATCATTTTTTTGTGACAATCTTCATCCAATGGGAAATGGAAGTCAATAGTCCTAGTAAAATATGTCAGGTCATCTCGACTTTGGCGAGCTGTTCTGTGGCTTTATCCTGGGGTTTATGAGGTGCGAACGCTACCGTCATTTGATGCATGTTTCTATTTCAGAAAGTAGACATCAGCTTTACAAAAAATATATATATACAAAACGAAACTAAATTCTGTGTTAAACTAGTACGATCCTTAGGAAGGTGATTAGTGCAATTCCTTTGGAAACTAGGAAGAGTGTGTTTGATAATCACTATAAGCTATATGGTTAGCGTATAAGCTTCATGTATGTATTCAGTAAACTTGATTTGGTATGAACGATTTTTTTTTTTTTAAAAAGCTCGAGCTTATCTCGTAAACTTCTTGGATAGCTTTTCAACTAAATCTGTCCAAATTTTATTTAAGATAGCTTATCTGCTAATTTTCAAATACTTTTATGATAAGCTAGTTTTTTAGCATTAGTCATAAGCTATCAGCTATAAGCTCGAAATTCACTTATAAGCTATCAACTAACTTATAGCTAGCTAGGTTTACCAAACATAGTCGAAGTGTTTTCTAATTATGGAACAAAAACTTGTGGAATAGTTTTTGTGTGTATATACATTATGTCTAAATTGAAGTAAAATTCTACATTATAACTATGGCATTGACATTTTTCACATTATGAACTCACCCTCTTTTGGTTGCAGATAAAGTTTATTGTGGATGGTCATTGGAAAATTGATCCTCAAAGAGAGTCCATCAACTGGCATGGTGCACATAACAACATCCTTCGAGTCGACAGATGATTTCTACTTCTTCCTTCTTCTTTTTTCCTTTTTTCTTTTCGACTCCAAACATTATGTTTCTCTTGGTCTGAATCGCGAGATTGGTTGGGGAAAACAAAATTCTAGTTAAGGTTGTAGATTCGAAGCATCTCACACTATAAAAAAATTGTTATATTCCAACAGAAAATTCTATGACAATATATTCCAATGGAAATTCCAACGGATATTCCAGTGGTTTAGCTTCCGTTGGAATGGTTCCATCGGAAATTCGAGCGGAAATAATCTATTGGAATGTGTTTTTCATTGGAATTTTAGATGAAATTTGATGATTCCCACGACTATATTTCCAACGGCTTTTTACTGTAGGAATTTTCGTTGGAATATGCAATTTTCATTGGAATTTTTATTTCTACCCCGTTGGAAAATCACCGTTGGAATCGTCAAAATCCAACAGAAATTCCAATGGAAAACTCATTCCAACGGAATATTTTTGTTGGATTTCCGTTGGAATCCATTGAAAAATTCCAACGGAAATAATAGTATTGAAATATCTGTTGGAATAATTCTATTAGAATAATTTCTGTTGGAATTTCATCATTTTCTTGTAGTGTTAGTACAAGAAAGTATAGTTGTTAAAACATTTAAATTGGTCTAAAATTTATGAACTGTGTAATTTATTTTGATATATTATTTTCTTTTACAAATTTCTACTTTTTTAGAGAAGCTAAACTCAATAGTACCTCAGTTCAGCAGACGTCCTTTTCTCCTAAATTGAACTTCAGAGACCACCAGCCATGGAAGGTCATTCTTCTCCGGCTAAAATAGTTGCTTCACCGAACGGCAAGAAGCCTTCGGTCGCGAACGAGGAAGCTCCAGAAATTAATTTTATATATATAATTATTTTAAGTTTAAGGAAATCTTTTATTATAAAAGTTTTAATATCTTTTACTTATGCTTTCAGTTCAAACACCCGTGTAATACACGAGTATTGTACTAGTTTAACATGTAATTTCCGACGAAAAAAGGCTCTCAAAAACAAAGGATGATCGAAAAGATATCAGGGCAACGACCATTGGAGAAAAATAGGCTCTTAGAAATTGAGGATGAAGAACTTCAATCAACTGAATAAGGATTGAAGCGGTCAAGGCTACTGGATGACGAGCGTGACAATTGTATTTTCTTCGAAGATGGCACGTATTCCGACTTAGAGTACGAACAAGTACTCTATTAGGTCGAATCCGCTAATTTAGCATCAATTCCCTATCACACAAATTGAGTCCAATAAAAATTTGCATATTGAGTCGAGAGATTAAACGCGAGGCCGGAGAAGAATGTAAATTTAATTCTAAATATATATTATAATATTTTTATTAAATCATTAAATAGTGATTAGGAATTTTTAATATTACAATTTGATTTTTAAATGATTATTTTTTAATAATTAAGAGGGCTTCGTTAGGTGAGTTAAGGGTATGGATAAAAATATTAACCAAAAATACCAAAAATTAGTAACAAAGAGAAAATAAAGTCGGTTAAGATTTTTGTAAAAATTAATAAGAATAGAAAACTCTGTTAGCAAATTTTAATTTCAAACTCTAATGACATGATTGGTATAATGAAATAAAGTTTGGTAGAAATGAAGTGAGTTGAAGAATAGAATGATTCTGGGAAATGAATGAAACAGATTTTGCCATTGATGCGTTTGGTATACATAAAGAATATGACCGGAATGAAATGACATTATCATTTATCACTATTCTATAGAAAAAAAATTAATATTTATATTAATGTTTTTTTCTTATTTATGATAATACTAATATTATTTTAATTTTTAAAAAATATACTATATTTTAATAAATATATTTTTATATTTTTTACACCCATACTATATAAAAAATAAGTGAATTATGTATTTATATACATATTAACTAATATAAATATATCATTATATAAACCCCTATAAGCATATGTGGCCAAATATACTTTTTTATACAATATAATTTTGAAGCCGTTTGCCTCTTCCCTCTCGGCGATTTCAGCCTTCCAAACTCTAACCTCCGATTGAAATTGTTCTGCCTTCCTTGGCGGTGGTGGGGCTCGGCCTGGGGTCGTCCCCAGCCGCTCTTCTCGCCTTGGCCTCGATTCTCCCAAAAATTGCTGTGGTCTGGAGCCTATTCGAAGGCGGAGCAGAGCTAGAGGTGGTGGCCTTTGGCCCGTTTCAGGTTGATGTTTGGAGGTCTGCTACCCGGTTGTTTGACGGGCCTTCAACGGCTGTGGTAAGCCCTCTCTCTCTCTATGATTTTGTCTTCGTCTGGCTTCCCCTTCGGTTGCTTCGTTGTTCGGGAGGAGCTCTGCGGGGTTGGTTGTTGGGCGTCGGATTGCAACGGGTTTTGGTGGTGGGTGGTATGTGGTTAGAAGAGGCCGTGGCTGCTGCGGTGGCCGGGGTGGCGGTGTCGTATCATCCCCCCTCCCCCCTCGTATGGCTAGTGGTGTTAGGCATCGGGGTTGGGGGTCCTGGTCTTCTCGGGCCTGGCTAGTGGTGTTAGGCAGGTTCCGGTGGGATTGGTGGGGTTGGTTTGGTGTCCTCTCGGTTGGAGACGGGTCAATTCGGGGAATAGTTCGGGGCTCGGTGGTGACTACTGTATAGGCGGTTGCGCAGTTTCGGTAGTGATTGCTTGGGCAGGGACTCCTTGTGTCGATCGTTCACTGCTGGTTGGGCCTACTAGCTTGCCGGGGAAGGGCTGTGCTCTTTTTGTTTCTTTTGAGTTGTTTGTGTCTGTACTAGGTTTTTATGCTTTGTCAGTTTGTTCTTGTGTCCGTGTTGTTATTGTGTTTTAGGTTTGGGCCATTTGGCCTCTGTGCGCCCGAGTGTCACCTTTATTACCCTGTTGGGGCCCGACACTCGGTATTACCCTGTTGGGGTCTTTGTGTTGTGTTGTGTTGTGTTGTGTTTATTGTAGTGTTTTTATTACCCCTTTGGGGTCGTGGTCGTGTAGTTGGTCTGTGTTTGAGTTTTTATTCTAGCGTTGCTAGCGGGATTCTAGACGGTCTTCTGACCTGTCCTCCTATTTTATTCTCCCGTTGGGAGCTTTGTATTTTTATTCGTACTTTGTGCGCGTTTGATTTATAATAGTATCTCTATCGTTCCGGAAAAAAAAATACAATATAATTCAATTTATAAATGTATTTTTCTTAGTTTTATTTTTATATAAGTATTAATATATCTAACTAAAATATGACTAATAAATATAAATAATTTTTAAATTTTTTTATTTGAAATTTATTTGTTAGAATGATTTGACTTAGTATAATTTAATCATGATTATATAATTCATATTATATACTTATTTGTGGTTATCATTTGTTATTTATTTATTTATTTTTTTATTTTTATTTTTTATTTTTTGGAAAAAACGATTCTTAAACATATGAGAACGAAAAACCCATCAATTAGCTATGAAAATATGAAATGACTCCCCATATAGATGTGTTTTACAATTCCTATTGGAATGATCAATCTCTTTTAAAATATACTAGTACAACATCCCATGTATTACACAGGTGTTTGTTAAAAAAATTATTGTTGAATTTTAAAACTAATGAGAAAAATTATTTTTATATTTTATTTATTTTTTATAAAAAATACATATTATTTTATATTTTCAATGACACTTGTTACTTGTGGGATTTACATGTGTTATGTTATAGTTTTTGTATAACTTATATTATATAACTACTTGAAATATAAATATATTAATTGATAAATAATTTTATTTTTTCTATTAATATTAAAAAATAATGTTATTATTGTTATGAAGATAAATATATTTTTTTTATATATATAATATGGATGTTAGAACAAAACTTATCAAGAGAAGATATATTTGATATATTAGATATGTAAAACTGATAAAAAATAAAAAAAATATTAACTTTTTAAAATACATTTACAATTAAATGGTTATAATAACATGATCATATATAATCAACATATGTATGGATAATCCTGACCTAATTATTTTTGGATTCTACCAAGTATATAACAAAGTATGTAATTTTGTCACATAGGATAGTCATATAGGCTCAACACGTTCTGAATTAATATAAATGAAATACCAATCATCACGATAGGAATGAGTAAAGACTATAGTGAACATAGTATTTTTCACCCCACTAATGAAAATGTAATAAGTTTTTCACACAGCTCGTAGATAAGTTAACTCTTTCACCAAGAAATTGCGAAAGACATTGAGCGATGAATATGCAATAATTGCGCGATGACATTGTGCGAAAGTTAAAGGTGAAAATGCATTCGCATATCCTCTCGGTAAGCCCTACTGAACCTGATTTTGTCAATCTTGACTATGATAACAAGTACCCCTTTCTCCCACTATCCAGCCCTAATCCCAGACCCATTTTCCATTCAAACTACCACCTTACTATTGATTTCGCTCTCAAGATTAATGTGAGATTTACGATGAATGATGGTGAAGAACATCGTAACCATCAATTATGCAGAAACGAGTCGGTTAAAGCGGGCACACTGTTTCACAGCACCGAACGGCCATTAAGTATCGTGGCCTTTAAGGTTTAAACCTTTGACTTTTTTCTTTTCCTTTTATTTTATCTGTTTCTCAATCTGCCATATCAACTATATTGTCTTAGAGTAATGGAGCTTGTCATAAAATCATCTTAGATGCCTGCAACCTATGTTTTGGTGTTTTTGCTGCTCAGTTTATTGCAATGTTGTTTACCTTTTTATTTGCCCGTGTGTGTGTGGCATATTTAAGGGCTGCTTTCAATTTCACATGCTCCCATTGTCTACATTTTCTCTGGTTGCATGTCCGGGTCTTGGATGTGGATTGACATACTTGGAAGTTATATGTATTATGTTGGTTATGCTCTTTTGTTTCAATCATTCGATTGAAAAATAGCTTTACCATTATTTAATAATACGATTTCAAAATATTCTATCTATGGGACTTTTTTTTTAAAAAAACTTTTTTATTTATTTGTTTTCC